GTTTCTTGTTTTATACCTGTCTTCTAAGCCGTGTTGATCAAGCAGGAGGTATTCCTGGAAAATCCCCGCAGTGTGGCAGAGGGTGCCCGAGGGGAACCAAGGAGATGCAGAAGCAGGTGGCTGCTGGAGCAGGGCAGCGTCCCAGCCCGCTCCCTGGGAGGTGGTATGGGGCAGTCCGGGCTGCGTTTTCTCTGGATGCGACTCTGCTGCGCACAAAGACTCCGCTTGTGCGTTTTCTTGTGGGGCTGCAGAGAACAGGAGCCATTGCAGGGCAGAGGCTGAGAAGATGCCATTCCTTTGCATCACGTTACCCGTTATCATTTTTATCTATTATATATCGGTGTTTTTCAGTGAAATCCAAGTGCCATTTAAAACACACCTTCGTTTTGTTGGCTTTAAAAAAGCTGTTCACATGTGCTGGCAATGGGGTTTTCTTCAGTGACTGATCCTGGCATCTGGTAACTTTTTCCAAAATCAGCTTGACTAAAGATACATGTGCTTTTATGAAGAAAATGAACCCACTTAACATGCACACATTAACCTAAGTGTTTGGGTTGTTTTTTTTTTAATATATGTAATTATTATCTTTATAAACAGTAAAGCTCCTGTGGTTGAATAAGATAATCAGCGTAGTGAAGGAATACGTTGGACTACAAATCACAGTGCTTCTGCGTTTATTGTCTATGCTTGGAAATGTCACGTTTACGGGCAACTCATTTCCTCGGGATCTATGTTAATGTTTTTACAGACCGTTTGGTAGTTACAATAACTGGGTTCAAGGTGATGTATCAGGCAGCTGATAATAGGGACTGCAGGTAGTTTCCTGTCATTTAACTTCAGCTGTGGAAAAGTTAAGCATCCGCTCCGTAGTTAAACCTCTACAGACAAGGGGAATGTCTGTTTGTCTGTTGTAGATAAATGTCTTAAGGAGGGTGAGGTGAATCACCCCTGGATTTGTCTTTATGGACGTGGAGAGTCCAGACAATTAGCTCAAAGTTAGCACCTAGCTTTTAGATGGATAACATGAGAGGCAATTAATTTTGTCTTAACGTGATCCCCTCTATTGGGAAAGGACAGTGTGCCACATTTGAGGGTGGCATGGAAGAGAGCCTTAGTCAGAAGGCAAAAGCAGCTTGCACTATAGGCGTTATAAATATGCATTCCCAGTATCTGCAAAAACATATTTTTGGACTGCTGTCACCAGTTTGTATCCTCCCTGTCATTTTAATGACACACTGTAACTGATACATGTTTGTTTTTCTGAAGAATCCAAAGTAGGAGTGAAATGAATCACTTGGGAAGTAGGAGCTTGGATACTTGGGTGACACAGAGAGAACAAAAACACATCCCAAAGTTTGCAAAGGTGAATACAGAAGATGCACTGCTAAGGTGGTTCTGTTGTAAATATGAGGTAGGAAATGGAAAAGCTGAATTATGACCACTAGCCTTTAAATCAGCATTCGTATTTGTAGTGAGCTTTTTTTTTGAAGCTTGTATATCTTGAAGTGGTAATGTTTAGTGTCCATATGCGTGCCGCTTAATTGTTATTCAACAACGCTTCTACGCATTTCCATTTCAGGGATTTGTTCTTTTTTTAAAAATGATTTTCTTATACTATTATTTTTCCAGGGTTTGAACACTTTAGGTTTGCAATCTCCCTGGTGGGATTATTTTTTAAGACTGAGCAAAAGTCTTTGAAATTTCTTTCAAAACAGAAAAATAAGGAAAATTCTGCTTCATTTCATCAACAATATTGAAGACTGCTAGCTGTTGAGCTCTTGTAGTAATCTAGTAAGGAATAAATGTCTTGGAAATAATTTGTGAGAGAAACATGTGAATCGGCATAGAGGTCGATTAACTTTATTTTCACCTAATTTTTTTTACAAGAGTTTTGAAAGTTTAGTTGGTCTGTATGTGATGATTAGTTTTCCCCCAAGTAAACTTAATGTACTAAAAAACTAAGCATCCAGTCATGCTGTGTGTGTTTCAATGTGCGGGGTGAGAGATGGTTTTCTTCTTCGGCGGGTTGTCAGCCTTGTCCAGCCGGGCTCTTGCGGGGAAGCGGGTTGCAGGGGAAACCGGGCATTGCTTGGGGCAGCGCGGCCGGCAACCTGCCCTGCTGCCTGGCCACTTGCTTCTCTACGCTTGCGTGCTGCCTTCCACCACGGAGCTAGTAAATAAAACGCCCTTTATAGTTTTGGCCTCTTTCTTGACTTCAGAAACCTAAGAAACGTGCGCTCTGGTATGTCCCGTGGGAGGCTGACCTTTTCCCGCGGCGTAGGGTATGCTCATCGCAGGGGGCAGCAACGCACAGTGAATCACAAACAGTTTGGGGATTGCCTTGCTCTGCGCCAAATTATGTTTCCCGTCTCCAGCGTGTAATTTTCAGGCAAATCCACTGAAGTCTTTAATCTATAATTAGGCTTATAAGCTACTTTAGACCTTTTGGATTTCCCTCTTTAAAGAATGGAATACAGCATTATTATTCCATGAATCTTTCTGATGTATTTTCCAGAGAAAGCATTCCTAGAGGTTTTCTATTTATTTAGTTTTCCTTCAGTTTTCTAAAATGGGTAGGTAAAGATCCCATTTCCATCAAGCAATGAACTGAAATTACCTGGTGCAAGTGACTGTGATATATAAGAAGAATTTTTTCCTGGCAGTACTGAGCATAAATGTTTTTCAATAGGCTAAAGTAAATATGTATTTCTAAAATTGGATTCTTACCATAGTTTTTCTGCCTTTTTTTTTTTTAAAAAAAAAATGTTAATTAAAATGTCACTCCTTTCTCATGTGTTACTACGTGAACATTTGGCAAAATAAATCACTTCTGTCACCAGCCGAGGGTGTGAGGCAGTTCTCTGTTAATGCCTCTGTTTGCCTCAGGACAAGTAACAGCCTGGATGGACGGGTGTTTTTGTACTTCACTGGATAAGTGTGTGTGTGTATTGTGTATCTACCAATCTGTGTATATCTGTATGTGTGTATGCGTGCATGCGCATCGTATACAATGGGTGTTGTTGCATAGCATTCCTTTCATGTTTGAGAAGCACCCTTCTGTGGGCCTCCTCTGCCCAAGTGTAATTTCTCCTCATTGCTTCCTCGTTTTCAGGTATTTATTACAAAAGTACTTTTCAGGTATTTATTACAAAAGTACTCTACAGACATTTTTTTTCCCTTCATAAGAATTTTAATTTTAGGAATATTCAGATTCAGACTTTTTAAATTTTTTTTTATCTTAGTAAATATTGCCTAATCTTTAAAGAAACCCAGAAGTCATCTTTTATTGCTAACAGCTGCATTAATTGATCAGGAAATACATATATTTATATTATACATATATATTTATTTATATATATATTTTTATATAGATAGATAGATCAATGTGCTATAGGTAAGCAGTTTTCTTCTGATGTGTCATTGTCTGGCTGTTTTGAGGAATTTCTGTTCTCCTAAATTGACCTAAGGGATTTTGCTGTTATGTTTTGTGTTGAGCAGTTCTGGTTTCCCTCTTCAGCTCCCAGCAGCATAGGTTTTGGAGAACTCGCCGCTGTTCTGTTCTGGTAGGAGGGATGTCCTACCTCTTTTGGTATCTGTTGTGACCCAGTAGTCTACAGAAGCTGAAGTATGTCCTTCTGCCCTGTACAAGCTGCAGGGACTCCAGGCAGGGCTACAAAGATGATTAGGGGATTGGAGCATCTTTCTTATGAGGAAAGGCTGAGGGACTTGGGTCTTTTTAGTCTAGCGACAAGAAGACTGAGCTTACAAATACTTAAAGGGAGGGTGCCAGGGGGATGGGAACAGTCTTTTTTCAGTGGTGCCCAGTGATAGGACAAGAGGTAACGGGCACAAACTTGAGCATAGGAAGTTCCATCTAAACATAAGGAGGTATTTCTTTACTTTTAGGGTAGTGGAGCACTGGAACAGGCTGCCCAGAGAGGTGGTGGAGTCTCCCACACTGGAGACATTCAAAACCTGTCTGGACGCCGTCCTGTGCAACCTGTTGTAGGTGACCCTGCTCTGGCGGGGGGGTTGGACTAGATGATCTCCAGAGGTCCCTTCCAACCCTGACCATTCTGTGATTCTGTGAAAATTCAAACATCTCTAAACAATTTCTGTTGTTTTTTCACAAAACTGCTTATACAGAATGCTCTAAGAAAAGGGGAGATATGGTAATAAATGCCATCATTATTTTAAAATACTTTCAGATCAGGGGAATCTTTAACAATTTACACGTTTGGCTCAGCTGGAAGTTTCTTGGCATCCTTATGTTCACTTGGGGAAGTTCATATATATATTTATAGCACATACATTCTGGAGCTTAATCCAAAGGTTTGCAAACTTCCTGGCTCTCCATAGAGCCAAACCCATACATTTCTATGTCTGTCTGTATTTTTTTGTGGATTTCACTATTATATTTTGGCAGTTCTGTGTGTTTCCCAAATTCTGCTCAGTGTGTACACGTCTCAGTTCTGTTGCTGGGTTTTTTTTTTTCTCTTTATATATTGCTGTCCCTTTGCAGTTATATTTTTACTGTCTAGCACTTGTTTTATTTTCGAAAGCACAAGTTATCATTAATTTATGCTACTGCTTTTACTACACTTAGGTTTCATATTTCATTTTTTTGGTTTGTTTCTTCTTGTAATCTGAGGCATGCTTTGGCCATTGCTTGTTCCTGTACTTGACGTAATTTTGTGCAAAGACAGCTACTGCACATACACCAGCTCAGAATACCTCCTATTATTTTTCTTCTTAGACATTTTTGGGGATAGCAGAATTTTAGTCATAATGCTGCTGTGGAAACAGGACTTCTGGAAGATCAGCTTCCTGAAAGTGTTGGCATGACTTTTCCATGTACATACAAAACAGTTCCTTTGAGATGCTTTGTTATTCTTTTTTACAGTTAGTAAGTAGCATACGAACTCTACGTTTGAGAATAGTTTTCTGAAAACTAACAAATGCTTTTGCACTTGTACTAAATGTGATCCCCTCCCCTACAGATGCAAAGAGAAGAAGTATGATTATTACAGCCTGCCGAAAACCTCCGTTGTGATAGCTTTTTATAATGAGGCTTGGTCAACACTTCTGCGGACTGTTCATAGCGTTCTTGAGACATCTCCAGATATACTTTTGGAAGAAGTTATCCTTGTAGATGATTACAGTGACAAAGGTAGGAAGAATAATTCTAAATGATGTTGGTTGTTGGTGGGGTTTTCTGGTCAGCCAGTCACAGGAGGAAAAGATAATGCTGTTTAATAACATACCATGAAATTGTACAACATAGGCATCTAATTGGAGAATGTTTTGGGGGTTTTTTTTGTAGCCTGCCAGTGAAAATTTTGAGTTCTGGACCAAATTTAGTTTATAAAGGCGAAGCACATTTGCTGTGTTGAGTGCTTCCATACATAGGTAACTACAGTCTGGTTGGAGCATTTCAGGTTTCCTAATTGGAGCAAGTTTTGATTGCTCCAAGGTTTCCCTGGTGTAAGGTATAGTAAGAAGCTACCTGGTTACCTCTTTTCATTTAAATTACAGGACACAAAACAATGCTGGCGTTTTCTACCAGATGTGAATTGTGTTAAGAATAAAACCTTTACATGGAAAAAGCTTTACGTAACATTTGAGACTCACTTACACCATTTGGAAATGAATTAGAGGCAAATACAAAGCATTCAGTTTCTTAAAAGTAACTGTGATTTGTGTCCATCCAAGTTCTGCACTTTTTCCTTGTCTTTTCCTAACATGGACAGTATAGTAAGTAACATGATGCTGAAAAAAAAGCTTTCTGTAGCATGATGTAAACCAATCATTGCAGAATTATATTCTTCCTTTCCCTTTTTTTGGTTTGTTGCAGAACATTTAAAGGAGACTTTGGAAAACTACGTGGCTGGCTTACGCAAGGTGCGTCTTATCCGCGCAAACAAGCGAGAGGGGCTGGTTCGAGCCCGGCTGCTGGGGGCATCTGTGGCGAAAGGGGACATCCTGACATTCCTGGACTGCCACTGCGAATGCCACGAGGGCTGGCTGGAGCCGCTGCTGGAAAGGTGAGGTTATGCTCTGGGCTGGTTTTCTTTCCCGTTGCAGAAGGGGAAGAGATGGTTTGGCACACTTCTGCTGTGGAAAAAATGATTCTTTGCAGACGTTTACTGGAGGTTACCACGGCCTGGTCCCTGGGGCACTGCAAGGGCTTGTCTCCTGGTGGTGGGGTAGCGAATGGAAGTGTGGAAGATCAGGAGGTGGATTTTTGTTTTCTGCTGAGGACCAGGCTGCTCTTTTTCTTCAGAGAAAGGAAAGTTTTATTTTCAGGAAGAGGAATCCTCCCCCAGCTTTGAAGCTACCTTGGGAAAGGTGGCTACTTCCATCAGCCTGGGAGGTGGATGAGAAGAAGGTCTGGAAAGATGCATGCCCTGAGACATCCTTTGTAGGAGCAACAAAGCATTTTTACATTTTATTGGGATTTTTATTCCTCTGTGTACGTGCAGGGCAATGTGCATGTAAGCAGATTGGAATAGAAGTCAGTAAACTCAGTCTTCCTAGTCCTGGGCAAATGTATCTTTCCAAAACTGGTTCTGATCTAAAGCATCATGGGGTAGGATAGGGAGGAGTTAATGTTATGTCAACATTGACTTTTACTTGGACACCATCTGTCCTGGGACACTGTACTTTACAGCTGTGTAGTTTTTCATCTATACTGCAGATCTGTTGGACAGGTCAGAAAACTTCCATTAATTAATAAAACAACAAAAAACAAGGACACCCCCCCCTCCAACTGAAAAACAGAATAATAGCTCTCTATTACAACTTAAAATATTTATGCTATTCTTAAAGCCTCACCCACATGTAGTCAGCAGCCATACATGCGCTTTTCCTGCTGTCGGTTCGGCCACTGGTACATCTCACCGCAGCACCCTGCTGCCCCCGCATCGCATGCACGAGGGTATATTGCTTTTGCCCCTCTCGCTGACAGCTTACGTCTTTATCCCCTTGGATGCCATTAGCAGGTACTGATAGATACAGTACCTGAATCAGACCTCCTAGATATTGTATATAGAACACCATCTCTCTTTAAAACATAATTAAAAAAAAAATATCCTTTCCTCAAGGTCAGTGGTTTGATTTGCATCCTATAAAGATTCCCACCGGGTACTGTAGACTTCAGAGAAGCACCAGGAAAAACAGCCCTATGCAAATTGGAGGGAGATGTCCAAAAGCACATGCTGTCTTGAGGCATGCAAGTCTTCCTGATTCCTAGTGGAACTTGTGTTCTTAAATGCCCCGTGGCCATTTGAAGCTGTATCTGGAATAATATTTTAATTTTTTTCCTTAAAATTTTCATATTTAACTCATTTCTAAATTTCACAAAGAGTATATTCCAGATAACTGTGGGTTAGCTATGAACAGTATAGATAGTGTGAAGAAAGGAAAAGAGGTAAAAATCAAAGAATAAGTATGGTTTTAATGACTGTCCTCTGAAGAAACAGTGCGTAAATGTGGAGAGGACTCTGTAATTTCTTCACTTCTTTAGCAAACCACTAGATGGCAATCTTGAGGAAGGATTGGCATAATTTTAAGCATAATAAATCACCTTGTGTAAAAAAGTTAGCCCTGGATGTGTCTTGGAATTTTTGCCCTTCTTGCTGCAGATGCAAACCTCATCTCTAAGGGGTTGTCTGCGTGGCATATCTGACTCAAACGTATGGGAGCAATAGAACAGCGTTAGCATTTTGCATTGCAAAGCCGGTTCTATTGTAAGCTGCCTGTGCATTGTACCATCTAGTTAATTCTTAACTTACGCACAAGGTGATGGCTTTTCACTTACCTGATTCCTTGCATAACTGTCGCATGGCAGCTACCTAATTTTTACTCCTTTTCCTTTGTAGGAGCAACAAAGCATTTTACATTTTACTGGGATTTTTATTCCTCTGTGTACGTATCATTCTCATTGCTTTGTACATAAGTCTTATGCAAGTGAGACAGGAGATAACAATATTTGTATAAGTGCTTTTGTGTGCTCTACCAAACAGGATTTCAGTGGAGGATCAGGAAGAAGAAAACAGCTGTGTCTCATCTTCCCTCCAGCAACAAGAGACCATTTTATACCAATTTATACTTAAGGCTGTCTTTCTCGGCTCAGACAATACTTTTTTGCAACTGCTGCTGTTCTGCTGCATTTAACCACCAGAAGCTGCTCTAATTTCAGAGTCAGAGCCCCTTGGTCAGCCTGCAGGTTTTAAGCTTAATAATCCCGTGACGAACTAGTTGCCCTCGAATGACAGATACGTCACATCTCTTCCTTGCTTGGCAATGTAACGCGTTCAGTTTTCCTTCTCCTTCAGAATATGCAAATCAGAAGACGCAGGGCTGAAACAAGTAGCAGCATCTTAAAGTCAAGCAAGTCACTTGGTTTCACTGAACTAACAGGAGATGTCTAAGACGAATCTAGAGGAGATTGCTATAGAGTGATTTGGGAGAAAGACCTTAGCTTGAGCTTGCGTGCTTGAAGTTGATCTCTCCTACTACTGAGAGAGACCTTTCCAGAAGTTGAGGTGAAGGCAGAGGATCCCACTGCCTTTTGTAAGGGCAAATGCTTTTGGAAAGGAATCCAGAAAACCCTGTGTGGTATTGAGAAATGGGAGGATGAGGCTTATCTCCTTGCAGAAGTAGACCTGCAAGAAATGCTGTCAGCTTTGATGTATTCTTAGTATGATAAAAATCTTAACTACATTTAGATCAGCCTTGCTGATAGGTATGTCATTCTGCAATACTATCTTGTTTCTCCTTTTTACCTCCTACATTGCCAGGGTTTCCGGAGGCCTCCTTCATGTATGTTTCAATGTTGGACATCTGTTTCCCATGTCACATGTTTTTTTTTTAAGCTCAAGGCTTCTTTTTGAGTTACTGTTGCAGTGCTCGGTATAACTTTCTGTAGATGATCACAGTTACAAGAACAACCATGACTTTAAGGGCCAAGAGGCTACCTCATTTATTATTCATCTTTGCAGAACTATACAATCGTGCTGCGCTGTTAATATCTGAACCGCGGCTGCCTGTACGATACAAACCAGACGTTTTTGTTGAGAATGTGGTGCTGGCTGTGGCAGCCAAGCCAGATGCTCAATGTGTTATCTCAAGCCATCTGGCATACCTTGCTTCCACTGTCCGGGAAGATTGATGCTTGCCAGGTGCCTACAGCTGAGTCCATCCTGATGCATCTTCCTGGTGCATCCTCAGCAAGAAATCGATGGTTATTCTTGAAGCCATTATTTCCTTGTATTGCAGCATGAATTGAAAAGGAGCAAAACTTCGTGTTTGGTATCTGTAAGCGTTCTCTGTTCTTGACAGTTCTATTTTTTTTTGAGATAAGTTTCTAATGGAAGTCACCCTTTTCTTTTAAAAACATATTAGGATTGCAGAAGAAGAATCAGCTGTTGTCTGCCCGGTTATTGATGTTATTGACTGGAATACATTTGAGTACTTGGGAAATGCTGGCGAGCCACAGATTGGTGGATTTGACTGGAGGCTGGTCTTCACTTGGCATGCTATTCCTGAAAGAGAGCAAAAACTGAGGAAGTCCAAGACCGATGTGATCAGGTTAATTTTTGTGCATCTTATGAAACTGTGAATGTTACAAGTGTGTTTGATTTTGCTTGGAAATGCCAGGTGCTGAAAAATATTTGTGAAATTAGCGTATCACCAAGAATTTCATATTTTGTTTAGTTACCCTTTTTCCAAAATAGCTCCTGCTCACAGTGCTCCTGGAAAAATACTGCTCTAAAAGCTGAAATTCCTGTGTAATCTGCCATATGGAATCCTTATTGCACAAGTAGTCTCTTGACTCCTGCCCCCAAACTCCCACAGACACTTATCAGCACGTGGAAGGGGTAACTGATAACTAATGCTGAAGGATGTCCTCTGTGCAACGCAGAGATCCGCATTGTAAAAAATGTATCATGGTCGACGGTGAAAAGGGGGGAAAAAAATCATCCACAAGTAAGAAGGCAAAAGTGGTTTTGAAGACTTTCTGCGCTGTAGTGATAGTGGTGGTTCCTTGCGGTATTTTCAAAGCCGAACCAGTTTGCCATTTCTTTATTGGGATGATATGATACAGCTCTACCTACCAGAGTTTCTATGAAGGCCTAACCCACAGGAGCTCACACGGATGTCTTCCTTGTGGGTTTTAGTTTTGTTTTATTTTAAGACAAGTTGCAGTCAGTTGGTGGTATTTGTCGCTCCATGCTGTCTTTTTAGGAGAGGTAAGATAAGAATACAAAAAATGCATCTGGAAAATGGACACTGTAGACAAAATCCTGATAGTTGAGGGTCTGCTAGGTTCAACTTGAAGTTGCTGTATTTCAGTAGTGTATTGTAAGAAATGAAGCAACTCTTTGGCGTTTTTAACACCATGATTTTATTAGTCCTTGCTTTTATTTATAACCTGTTGTCTTATGGACTACAACAAATACAAAATGATTAATTTTTCTCAGTCTTTTCTAGGTCGCTTATGATAATAATAGCCAGTACTTCACAAATATTAATGAAGTTATCCTTAACTGAGAGAACATTGAGGTTTTTTTACATTGGAAAAGTGACACAGTAATTTAGTCCTTCTCAGTGTATATTAGTCCATATCCTCCTAAAAAAAAAAAAAAAAAGTTTCAAAATAGAGTAAATGTTTTTAAAGCCTTTAGTTTAAATATGATGCTTTTCTTCTCCGTGATGAGAAGAATTGTTTTTGGCATGCCAAGGGGAAACCGATGAGGGATAAAGCTTCACAGTAGCCCGAGGACTGTGAGCTCGGCAAGTGTCTGGAGAAAGCAGCAGTGCTGAGAGTGGTGTCACCAACAGCTGTGTTTGGAAAGATGAGATCTGGAGTGAGACAGAAGAGCTTGGCTGCTTATGGAGTTTGGTTTTTTTCCTTCTGTCTCACTTCATCTCATTCCATTCTTTGAAACAACATATGACAGTGTAAGACAGTGTTGCTTCAAGAAGATGGCTGGTAAAATTAGTTTTGACAGATTAAGAGTAACTGATCACTGCAGTGAGCATTTGTTAATATTTACCTCAACAGCAATTTAGTAAAATTCATAAAGTGTCAGCTGAATTTACTTCCAACCAGCATTATATGCTTGGCACTTTTAAAAGGGTCATTTTCTAAGACTGTAAACAATTAAGAACAATATTGAACTAACACAAGTTTATGTATATTTGCACACACTAACCTACTGAAAGTACATCCCTTAAGTGTGCTGTTGCTCTGGGCCTTGTGGTCTTTGATGAGGATCTGGTCTTGACCCCCGATTTTCTTTTTTTCCCAAACTTGGTAAAAAAATTTGTAAAAATATGGAAGGGCAAGTCTTCTTAGAAAGAGGAAAAAAAAATCTCTTTGGGGCTATATTTACTTAACCCTGCTCAATTGATGAGTGAGAGTTTTTCCGCTTGATATTAATGGGATGAGGAATGTTGTTATTAATTACTGAAGCACAAATATTTGTTTACTTATTACTTAAGCAAAACATATAAGCATACCACACGTACAATTTCAGAGCCGGCTAATATAATTCTGCCACAAAAAAGCTTATGTTCTACTGTGTGAAGGTAAGAGATGAGTCATTTGTTGTCGTTCACAAAGACACTATGGTTGCAAAAATTTATATTAAAACAATGTTTATCTTCTCTAATTTCATTGTTATTTTTATTTTAATACATTCTGGAGCTTGTTTCACATACAATTTTTTACTATAAAATTAAATTTAAACGGCCTGATGATAACTGATCAATGGCTGACTGTTACTTTATAACCAGAAAAGACTGAGAAAATGGAAAATAAAAACATACTGTATTTTTTATCTGTCGCATTGGTTTCTTAATTTATATTTTTTTGCTTTTTATTCAATTCAGAGTTACTATTCTCTTTTATAGGTCTCCAACCATGGCAGGTGGATTGTTTTCTGTGAGCAAGAAGTATTTTGATTATCTTGGTTCATATGACACAGGAATGGAAGTCTGGGGAGGAGAAAACCTTGAATTCTCATTTAGGGTAAGTGGCTCAATTAAAAGGAATATTTAGGAGATCATAGAATTGTAGAATGGTTTAGGTTGGAAGGGACCTTGAAGATCACCGGGTTCCAACCCCCCTGCCATAGGCAGGGACACCTCCCACTAGACATTTACATGAATCTCTTTTCCTTGTTCTCACACTTTGTTATAGCTGTATTTTCTTTCCAAATAGCCATTTTAAAACATTTTTTAAAAACATGCCTTCGTTTTGAATGCCAGTATAAAATTTATGTAGTGGTGTGATATCAGAGGATGAAATTTACAATTCTGTGCCTTGAGGAGGATCATTAGAAAGAAACATTTACAATTCTCCAGTGTGACTCGGAGCTGTCACCACGGTTGATGGAGTGAGCAGGACGCAGCTGATGGCAGTTACCAGTAGGGCAGGACAAGCCAGCCACTGCACTTTAAGGCTTTATTCTGTTTCATTTCACGAAAAGTTTGTGTGAAGGTTATAAAAGGTGATGGGGGGAAAATCTCCAGGAACTGTATAGCTGTGTCCCACCAGAGGGTGGACCAGTGCTCAGGTGTGAGGCAGACAGATAGCTGGAATGAAAAGGATTTATGGTAGGGGAAGAGAGAGGAGATACAAGACAGTCCAGACTGACGAGCAAAACAGTCTTTTCCTCCTCACCTCTGCTGTTACCTCTGCTGCCACTCATTCCCTCTGAGCCCTGGTGGCCTGTGGTTTGCCCCGTATCACCCTTAGCTTGCTGAAGCAATCCAATGGTGGTGTAAGAGGTACACTGCAGGGCCGTTTCTGGCTTGCAGGGAGCTCACAACTTAGCATACTGAATTTTCCTTGGATTTTCTGCTCATTGTCAGGTATGTTTGATGGTCATATTCGCATTTCTCTGTGTGGATCGAGCAGCTCTCTTCTGGGAGGCCAACAGTTTTGCTGGATGAACTGTGCAATGGCCAGCAAATATGCCAGGGTGTGTTAATTTTACTAGTGTAGATTGCCAGTAGGATCTAGGCATTTGGATCCAAATTGCGCGCAACATGCTTTTGTCTATTTGATTTAAAGCCCTTGTACTCATGCTTCCTGCGGTGAGGGTTTTTATGGAAGAGAGCAGAGCACTATGATGTTGCTTAACCGTGTTCTTCTGGCTGCCCACGGTGCTGAAGAAGGTCAAGAGGGATAAATCAGTGTTAATTCTGTTGTCTCTGTGGCTTCTAGACCTGCCAGACCTGAAAATTAGGAGCAGGGATACTGACTGAAAAACACTGTAAATTAATTCATTGTTCTTCTCATCTCTGAAAACACCACCCTCTCCTGATGACATGAAAGGACTTGTCCTCAAGTCTCTTCTTTCTCGTACTTTGATTATTCTAAACTGAAGAAATTCTCAATGGTTTTGAGAGGTGCAACAAGGACAAAGCTTCGGCTAAAAGCGTGATGACTAAGAGGGACGGAGGCTGCATGCTGAATGCAGGATTGAGGCAATGTGCCTTGATTTCAGATTGCTTAATGCTATTTGGCTGGATAAACTTCCACTTCATGGGCATTAATGGGCATTGAAACCCCTCTCTCTGAGGGATGCAAAACATGCCCTTTCATCTTCCCTCTCCTGTACATGGAGCGAGGGGAACCTGGTTGCAGCTTTTTTCCTCCTCTCTGCTCTTGGTCCTGCTAGTGGCACTGCAATGTAAGTTTGTTTCTGGGGACCTCCGCTTGCTTACACCTGCGGTCTGTCCTTCAGCCCACCATCACGGCATGAGAGAAAACCACCTATGTGCAAAAAGGCGAACTTATTTACTGATAAGTCCTTTCTTCGGTTGGAAATTTAATTGTCCTGGATGATATGCCTCTGATTGCCTGGGGTCTTCTTTTTCTCATCTTTTTTGTATTGCTTCCTTCTGTCTGGATGTGGGAATCTGTCTCACAGTGGGAGCAGCAGGGATAGGTTTGTGCAGCTGGGGAAGATCCCTCTGCCCACCCAGTTCCCAGCAGATGACGCGCGAGCCCCGCACAGGGGAGGTCAGCCCCAAGCTGGCAAGCAAAACTGCATCAGAGAGAGGGGCAGGAACAGAGTATTTTCCGTGGTTTGTCTATGTTCAGGAGGTAGAATAATTTTCTTTAAATACTCTCATTTCTTCCAGAGAGTCCTAAAATGTTAGAAGGGAGGTGGTAGAGCTTATAGAGCTTTTCTTATTTAGCGCTCATTGACCCAGCGATTGGGTCAGTTGTCCAAAGACCCTGGCAGGGGCGAGCATCGCAAGGTGAGATCTGTACTTTTACTGCAGCTTTTCATAATGCCACCATCTGTCTCTGAAAAGAAGAGGAAAAAAAAAAAAAAGGTCGATAGTCTGCATGCATCAAGATGAAAGTGAAAGTAAAAATGAATGTCACCTTGTTTTCTTTTTGTGCTGAAGGAAAAAGGTACGCTTTTATAATGAGCTGCGAGCTAGCCAGACCTAGTAAAGAAACATATTGTCATGCATGTGAGCATGCAAAACGTAGATGAAATCTAATGTGCTTCTCTGTTAAAGGAGGTGCAAATGGGCTTAGGGGAGAACCTTCTCCAGAGTCACTTGTTTAGCATTTAGTAGTCCGCTTCGGTTTCTCTAGTGAATTCCGTGCTTTCTCTCTCTTTTCCTTGCTCTTTGTTTGTACCTGATTTTATAGAGAGGCCAAAATGTGTTTTCCATTCAAAAAAATAAATAAACCTTTTGAAGCATTGCTTGTCTGAAGTATACTTAATTTTTTCATAACAGAGGAAGACGAGACATTTTGAACTGTTTTAATAAAGGAAGCAGAAGTTAATGAGCATTGCTTAGCAACCTACAGTTATCTTTTAAAGAAATTCAGAATTCTAATTATTGAAAAAAAGCTGTTGTGGAATTCTCTTTTTGGCAGAAATTTAACAGTGAAATGGTCAGTCTTTTACTGCATTTAAATCTGACTATCACAGAAGAGTAGGAGAATGTGCTTCCTTCTTCACTGTACATTTTTACTTGAGTAGTCTTTATGGTCCATTCCTCATATCTTGTTTAAAAACAGACTGATCAAAACAGTAATGATAAAATGCTTATAAGGAATATAACAAATACAGAAATTGTTAAACTTCAGTAAATTTAATGGCACTTAGTATTTGCTGACAAACAAATTGTATGATAAAGTTTAACTTTAAAAAAGTAATCTTGGATATAGAAATACTAATGTAAGAAAGCTATTGTTTTGAAACAAATCTCAAAAAGGGAGATCTTAAAGTGAAAGTGGATAGCTAGGTTTTTAGCAGCTTTCAAAATGGCAGTAGTGTAACTTAGATGTGAAAATATGCAAATTCTTTAAAAGATCAGTGCAGAATTCTAGCTTTCTTGTGTAACTCCTTTAGTCATCTTTCTGTTCACATGACAAATATACTGCTTCCCAAAAATGCAACAAAAAATAAGAAAACCTGTCATGAAAAGCAAGAAATTAGATATTTAAATCCAGGAAGTAAAGATTAGCTAGTGCTGCCTATAGTTGAATAATGAATTACCTGTACCTCTAAGGAAACTGTTTTAAAAGTAAACATATTGAGTGCTTACGATTTTGTTAGTAAGCACAGTGTTGTGCCATGTCTGAAGGTGTGACACCATTATCCAAAACCAAATCAACAGAGACAACATTCATTGATTTCTAAATTAAGAAATTTGAGAAAAAACATAAGTAACTTAAAATTGGCAGTCTGAAGACAACATCCATCTTCTGTATGCTGAAAGCCTTCATCTTTACTGACTTTCTAGATCCCTAAAAGTCCCAGGGAGAGACACGGGAAAAGTCCCATTCCTGATCTGTTGTCATTGTTAAGGTTTGCTGCCTCATAGATTTCACTCCCGTTGTGTTAATTTGAATAACATATAATTAAAATGTACGTGCTATAGAAGAAGGTTGTCAGGGAGGAAACCTCTCTACCCCTTAAACATATCTCAGCTAATATCCCTTATACTCCATTTGCAAAGGAAAGGTGGGCCGCCGCCTACGCACGGTTGAATACAGGAGGAGAATTAGCTCCCTGGAGTGCCAGTTCTCAAAAAACTTCTGCAGAAAGGCTGTTGGAGCCATTGGTGATAGCTTCCAGTGTGTTCAAGTGCAGCAATGCGTCCTGCCTTTCCTCCCATCTGATAATTTCAGAAACCTTGTTTCGGGCACCTGTCAGAAACAGGTTGACAGCCACATTGTACGTAGTGTTAAATGGAAAATATCTAGCCATGCTTTCCTTTCATTACATGAAACTTGAGGTCAGTGGCTGTGTGGGTGAGCTGCTGGAAGCCCATGCTTTTCAAAGGAGGTGAGAATAATGACAAACATTTGCACCGAGTTCTGAGACCAGTGTCCCTGCTTGGTGGTGACTTACGGGCTTTATCTCCAGGGCCATGTATTTCCTGACTTGGAGAGCCAGAGGCATGAGGATGAGGGCAGAGCGAGTTCTGCCGATTCCCCATTCAAGTTCGAGTACTTTCCCTTTCAGCAAGTAGCAATTTTGGTTTAGATAGGAGGGGCTGTTTCACTAATCTTGGCTAGACCACTGTGGGTCAGTTAGAGAATTACTTTGCTTTTTCTTTTCATGTGTTGGGTCTTGGATTCTTTTTCCAGCTTTCCAATGAAAAAGGTTAGTTATATTTTATGACCAGGCATCTATATCTCTCTTCTGAGATGGTAAATATAGAAATAGAAACACAACTTATCGTTCTCCAGTAATATGATGAGCTTATGTGGTTAGTCAAGTCAACTTTCCTGCAGAATACAAGAATAAGTTTCTGGTGAGAAATCAGTCATCGCTTTCTTTGCGGCGGCTATTCGTATGGCTAATTTGGACTAGAAAAATGGCTCTTTTGTTAATAATGCATATATAACTTGAATTGTAAGCCACAGTTAGACCTGCAGAAATATTATGGACCATTTCTTATCATGCCTTCAGAGAAGGTAAAGCTAAGAAAGGGATAATTGCACACCACACAACACTGGAGATGGGGTTAGCTCCTTGTTGCTCCCAGTGATATGATCTGAGTTCACAAGGATGTCATTTAATGCCATCAAATGAGACACACAATTATTGTATGTATTTTATTGTATGTATTGCTTCTAGTATGCTGTGATGTTCTTGAAAAGGTATTATCCTTGCCAAGACTTATTGCTACTGTATCCTACTTGCAAAGATTCAAATTAACGATACACTATGTCAATTCTTTGTTCAGATATGGCAGTGTGGAGGAAGTCTTGAGATCCACCCATGCTCACATGTAGGTCACGTTTTCCCCAAACAAGCTCCGTACTCACGGTCTAAAGCTCTGGCAAACAGCGTGCGTGCTGCTGAAGTGTGGATGGATGAATATAAAGAACTTTATTACCACCGAAACCCACATGCTCGCCTGGTGAGTTCAAGTCCGTAGTTATTGGAATTTCAATAGAATTTGTTTGCGATTAAATAACTGTTAATTTAGCTAATATTTAACATGAAGTGCTTTTAATGTTTATTCCGTACTTATTCTGAAACTTTTTTTCCAAACACAGAATAAGTGTATATATAGTTAATTTTTAATTCCTTGGAAAAAATCAGAAATTCTGTAAGACTAGAAGGTGACCACATTTGTGTCAATATTAAATGAATGAATGAATAAATGAAAGAATAAAGTTAAGCAAGGTGACCCAAGTAAGGAGGAGCTGTTTAACCTGAAACGTATGCTTCTATGAAACATCTGATACAGGATTCTATCAATAAAGAATTACAGAAGAGACACACAACTAACGAACGCTAATCAATAAGGTTCCATGGACAGTAGATCTTTAAATGAACCGCATGGTAATAATCTTAAGCAAAATTACCTGTCTTGTGATAATTGTAAAATTTTGGACTCATGTAAGACAAAATGGATTTTTCTGTTTGATTTACTATTACACAACATTTAATTAAAGAAACCAAAACAAACCAAAATCAACATTGCAAAGATTAAATTAATTAAAATCAGTCCTGGGAACTCAGGTGAAAATGTTCCTAATAAAATGTTTGAAGTTTCAGTACTAGGTTTGGGGGTTTTTTTTAGAAAAAAAAAAAATTACTTTCTGTGAGGGAGAAAATACATGATTACTTGTTTGCAAAATTTTTCAGGTGACACTGGAAATTGAATGGGTCAGAGCAGTAAAGCAGTGTGCAAATTCATAGCTTGGGTATATTTATCGTGAGGGGCCTGTAGGCTGGAAGACAAAAACAATGAAATATCCTGGCAATGTCTAGAAATGACTTATATGAACCTCCGGCTCAAAGTCCAAAATTCAGGCTCTGCTGTTGCTTGTTTCTGGAGGTGCTTAATCTCCCTTTGTACCCCGAGTGGCGGCTTTCTGGTTTTGTGGATGGGGAGAGCTGCCCTGCGGTGGGCTGCTGGGCACCTACCTCCAGCTATGCTGGACCAGAATTTAGGGACCAGGCAGGGGGACAGGGACGTCCCCACACATTTGAGTGGCCAACCCCCATAGACGTGCTGGGGGAAAAAATGCTGTTGAAACCATTACGCTTTTAAAAGGTAGGCTGGAGGACACTGAGGAAGCTGAATTTGGTTAACTTCCATCTCGTGTTCCTTTGGATTAAACTGGGTAATTAGATTATTATAGTCTACGCATTTGTAATAATTGTTTTACTTTAACATCATAAAAGCTATTTAGGTTTTATTATTAGAGTCCGACTTTGAGAGAAATATGGGGTTTGTGTATCCCAAGACGGGAGCTCACAGGCAATGCCAGGCTGGTTCTGCTGTCACATGTAAAGAGAAAACAGCAATAAATGCACACAGTTTTTCTTGTAAAGTTCTGGGAAGCTGATGTCTGTAATGACAGAACTTCAGTTTTGAAGGATATTTGTGGGTTAGTATCAGAAGTTTTGGCTATTGGCTTATTGTGAAACAGTGGATGTAAGCTGAGACTTGAGTGGGGTTTGGTTTTTTTGCACATATCAAAGCTGCCGCCAAGGCACTCTGGTTTCTGTAATACTCTGTGCCCCTCTTGTTGCAGCAGTTGAGTTCAGACCCTTTTACTTCACCCAACCCAAACATTCAGTTCCATAGCATAATGGAAAAATGATTGATGCTATGGCCGCAGAATTTGGTTCCATAAAGTTTCACTGCAAGATTAATGTTCAGACCTCGGAGCTAATATGTCACGCTGTTTGTTTATTCAAGCAGGCATCTCTGCCTCTATTTTACATCTGCTTTGTGTTTTCAGTGGTATTTCCACAGCTTTGAGAAATGCA